CCCAAAACCACGGCAGTCTTCTGCATCCGAACCTGGTGGTGCTGTACCTGACAGCTTGGCTACTGCATGGTTAAATGCAGAGGAGCAGGAGTGCTCGGCCAGTGTCCAACAGGTCCTGACCGTGGCTCCCTCTGGCTGCCCTTCCTGCAGCCCCCATTGGCCTGGAGCGGCAAACCACGGCCAGTGGGAGCCGCCATCGGCCGAACCTGTGGACGTGGCAGGTAAACAAACCAGCCCGGCCCGCCAGGGGCTTTCCCTGAACAAGCTGCGGCCCTAGTTTGAGAACCACTGCTCTACATCTTTTTCTTTTTTTGTTAAAAAGTTTTATAAAGTGTGAGTCTGTTTTATATACATTAAGTAAAACAATATACAATAAAGCCAAAATGCAGAATTAATAGCTTTTGTACCAAATAATTTTTTATGCATATGTCCAAATAAAATCTTATTAAATTACAGATTGTAAAGGCTGTAACTTTAGCAATGGCTTTTATGTGAGGAAAGAAATGGGAGTTTTGTAAAAATTAATGATTAGTAAAACCATGGTTCTTATAAAATATAAATTAATTTTTGCATAAGTTTAATTTTTATTAGATACATGTGCTGCTTCATTCTTCCAAAACACCACAGATTTGCTATCACTGTTAATTTTAGAAGCTGAAGCTTAACTTTTTCAAGTTTACTAGGTGAAATGAATTTTCTGAAAATTTAATCACTAATCACTAACCTTTAATAAGATCTTTTCTTAAAATGGCTGTTTGTAGTAATAGATAGTAATTTAACTTATAAAATTAATGCTGTTTGAAAGAACCACATCCTAGTCAGACTGAACCCCAAATAGGGCTTTTATTTTCATCATGATGAATTGGGTTAGTATGCTTTCTTTCAGAGGAACATGGTCAACTTAACCTGTTTTTAATTGGCTAACTTCAGAAAATTCAAATGTCTGATTGAACAACCTTTAAATAATGTCATGAAACTTTAAAAAAAAAAATCCATTGTTTAAAGTTGCATGCGTTTTTCTGATTGCTAGACAATGTTAAAATGGTCCCCTCGTCCCCCCCAGCAAGGGAGAGCGGGTGGGCAGGTCTGAGAGCATCAGCATATGTGTGCTCAGACCACCATTTCCCTTCGGTTTGGATTTTATTTATTATACTGAAAGAGTTAAGATTAGTTCTGTTAAGAAGTCACTGGGAATTTGTATTTTTCTTAGGACAATAGGTTATTCCTTGAGGTGTCAGTTGGCTGAAAGAAGACACACAGGAGCATTTTTAAAGATTTTAAAGCTATAGTGAAGGCTTTTTGTCCTGTGCAGGACATTAGGCCTAAATTATGCAACAGGAACTCCAGAATTATATAGGATTGATGTTCCCCAACCTCTGCCTGGTCTAATTAATACACTGTTGTGCAGTGTATTTAGATATTTTTTATTTCATGTAGTGAACTTTAAATGTGGGGCAGTTTAATTTTATATTAAGTAACTGAATTGTAGAAGTTGTTAGGGCACGGTGGGGATTGGAGGTGTGAGAGAGGAGTTTCGGGTTTTGGTATCCAAAAGAGCTTTGCTTTTAGTATTGGGAAGAGAATTAATCTCATCGTTATTTTTAAATTTGGGGAGGCGGTTTTGAATTTCTCATGCCCCACCCAACTTTTGAGAACAGCTGGATATTCCACTGCGCCATACCCCAACACTTGCCAATACATCCAAAATTAACAATTTCAATGCTGATCAATTAAGCACAATCATCATTTGTTAATGTTGGCATTTAAATCGACATTAGTTATTTGCATGTCTGAGCTTTTGTTTCCGGTTGTCTAAAAACTGAGGCAGATATTCTGGCATCAATTAACATTTGCGTCACATTTTTAGGTTTTCTTCACAGTTACGAGGGCTGAAGTCTTTATTTATTTTAAAATGAAATTTTAGATTATCTAGCACAGTTATTGAAAGTTTTAATAACCACTATTATGTGACAATTTATGTAGCTGCATAATCTCACTGGACCTGGGTATGATGAGATGCTTATTGCTTGGAATTATATCACATACAAGCCATGGGCGAGTCTTACGGGTCCTTAATGGATCTGATTTACACCCTTCTCATAGATGACAACAGGAGACATGGAGAACATACTGTGCAGAGGTGTCTTGCACAGGATGTAGCTAGGTTTAATTCACATTGCAATATTTTGAATTCACCTCTTGGCATAAAATTGTATATCAGGATTTTCACCAAAAAAAACCCCAACCTTTTAGATGAGGGAAAAGTTCCTTCTCATCTCCGTCTCTCCCCCAAATTGAAGTCCCTATGTAAATGTGCTCTCTGGCACAATGGAACTTCCACAACAAATTAAAGCTGGTCTGTGTGGGAGACAGACCTTTTTCTGGGGGTGGTGTGAGACTGTGGAATTAACTCTCCCAAGAACTAAGGACCATCACAACCCTTACTGTTTTTTGCTCCACATGTAAGGCACATTTCTTTGATCTTGCCTTCTCTAGCTAACACATATCAACAGGTTTATTTATATTAAAAATAATAATTTAAAAACCCTACCAAAACAAGATACTTCTCCTTCTGTGAACAAGCAACACTTGTCAAGCTGCTTAATGCACTATTGGAAGTTGCTCAGATATTATGGTGATGAGTGCTGTATAAAAACCTAGATAGAATAGAAAATATGTATTAATGTCAGTAAAGGAGTTTGTTCAGTATATGTAATGGGTTACTTGATCTTTCCTCTCCTTATCAATAGTAGATTTTTTTTTAATTTGCCATAATATTTCTATATGAATTGCAAATCATAGATCTGGATGTCTCAGGAATAGCTAAGAGAACACTGAGCCTTTCTGTTCTGGGTTGCTTATTAAAATCCAACCCAGGTCAGTAAGGACTAGAAATTATGCTGGTCTACATGTAGTGAAGGGAGCATCTTGGATTAAATTGGTCAGTGTGTTCACATCACAAAATTCACTGTCACAGTTGATACCAAAGACCAACATGTCCCCACTCTTAGTGGTGTTTGTTCCCTGTATGTCACGGTTGAGGAACACACCACACGCTGGCCTGCCATTTGCTACTCATGCTATACTTGTTCTGTGGTTATATGTATTTGGATTTTTAACAATAACAAAAGGGATTGGCTGTCCAGAACTTTAGGCACCCCGATGTTAGTTACAAAAATAAAATTCAGCAGCAGTTTACTGCCAACAGAACTTACCTCCCTTTAAAACATAACATCTTCCCCCCCATTGCCTTCCCCCATGTAATCCTCAGCAGCAGCCTATTCAGATAGATGCATCTTGCAATGTGCCATGAAGGTCAGAAGACCAGAACTACTACAGACTGGGGCAGGTGGAGCTTGTTCTGGTGCAGAGGGCCTCTCACAGGGAATGCTCTGCCATGAGGTTCTTCTCTTTTACATTGAGAGGGATTTAGGTCAAGTGCCTCCACTGTGGCTGTATGGCATGAGGAGAGAGGCGGTTCCTCAAGCAGGAACTTCCAGCCATTTAGGGCTTTCTGGGTTGACAGCAACACCTTATATTTGATCTAGAAATAGAGCAGTTCATTTTCCAGTGCTGTCAAACTAATAGTACTCAGAAAGCAATAAAATTCACTGAGTGAGAAGAAAAACAAACCTAGCTGTGGTAACATCGAACACTTCCCTGTGATCCATTTCAATGGCTCCATTAGGAGAAAAAATTATTTTTATTAGAAATGAACTGTATTTAAGGGTTTATTCAGTGCTATATATAAACATTTAATAACAGTTGGACTGGCTATAAGTTTTAGTAACTTACCTGTGGCTGCTTTCCCTATTTAAAAACTTTATTGTAAGTGTTCTGAAGTCTCAATTTTTTTAAAAAAAGGCATACATTGAAAGAGTTTGAGTTTCTAGGAAAGTGAGCTGAATATAGAAATATTAAGCTTCTGTCTTTTGCCTGTTTTTTTCCTTGTTTCCCTCCTCCTTTCTTTTGAAGGACTTCATTAACACTGGTAACATGGTAGTGAACAAAATAATTAACATGGGGGAAGAGATTGAGGCAGTTACAGTGGGGGAAGAGAAGTCCAACATTTTTGCAAATAAAATAAAATGGATTTAAAAAATGAATTGTTCATCTCACTGCAGTGTACTGGTGACTGTCATTAGGGTTTAAACAGACAGTGTCAAGCAGTTTATCCTCAGCATTTAACCTCTGTGTTGGGAGAGGTTGGATTCCAATTTTAAAATAAAATTAAATGTTTGCATAATATTTTTAAGTCCGTTTTTTTGTTTGATTTTGTAACTGTCACAAGCATTGTGCTAGTGCATAAGAAGCTGAAGGTAAAACTGCTTAGCATATTGTCATCAGTAAAAACTGAATAGCGTGTAAAAAGTAAGCAAATAGAAAATTCTGTGTCTGCCAGTGCACATTATGGGTGATTCCTTAGATTAAATTGTTTGGTGTACGGACTCCTTCACTTCCTTCTTTCTGCAACTCTTGCACACTCCCAATTATTTTCTGCTTCTCAGCAAAGAAACAGCAGGGGTCATCATCATGCTGAATGTTTTCCTCCATGTGTTGGTGTGAATTTTCATGGTGTAGAAAGGATAGGAATGTTTCCTTTGCGTAGATCTCTTGTATCTTCCATTGCTGAATCATTCTACTCTCTACGTGGACAGCAACTCATGCAGTGTCTTGTGCATGGACAATAAGAATCATATAGCACCTTTTAGAAGAATTGCAGTTTGCTTTGGCCAGAGTTTCTAACCATATCCTCTCCCTTCCTCTCTGTCCCACCCCCATCCCCATCCCACTGCAAATCAAAGTACTAATAGGTTGATTCCCTTCAGCCTAGAGGTGGCTGAATTCTAGTGATGCTCTAGTGAGATGACAGGTTTCATATCAACCAAGATTGTTTTTATGTTTCAGTGTATTAAGAGATCTAAGTTTGGTGAAAGTGTATTGAAAATATCAGTTTTCAGTGATAACATTTTGTTTTTCCTTTTTTTCCTAAACTGTAGGAATACTCTGAAGATAGTAACTCTGAGCCAAATGTGGATCTGGAAAATCAGTACTACAATTCCAAAGCATTAAAGGAGGATGATCCCAAAGCAGCATTGAGCAGTTTTCAGAAGGTTTTTAGTTTTATGTTCTCCCTTTTATTTGTTTATGTTGATGCTATAACCCACAATTACATTTGATCTACTATGAAAATATTTACTTGGATTCAAGTTATTGGTGTATTGATATTGAAGATGCATTAATAATTCCCACTGATATTACCACATGAGGTTGTTTCCAGGAATTTTGAGAGAAACTTTTTGTAGTAGTGTAACTTATTAGTACAGATGGTAATAAGTTTTTATCAGACTTCTTGACTCCCACATTGTTTACAAACTTATAAATACCATACTGAGAAAATATATTGTTCAGTGGCACAACTGATATTTTTAAATTTTTGCAAATCCTTGCAAATTAATCCTTGCAAAACTGCTAATTTTAAATACATTTTTATTCCGTTAGCTTGTTTGTCAGCTGTAGAGACCATATCCAATTGTCTTTTCTTAATTGAAAAACCATTTTCTTTACTCTTACATAATGCATTACCATTGGTTACAATCCTGAGTAAAGGTTTCAAAGTAGCAGCCGTGTTAGTCTGTATCCGCAAAAAGAAGAGGAGTACTTGTGGCACCTTAGGGCAGGTCTACACTTACTTCCTGGTCCGGCCGTAAGCAATCTATCTTCTGGGATCGATTTATCGCGTCTTGTCTAGACGCGATAAATCGATCCCGGATCGATCCCAGAAGTGCTCGCCGTCAACGCCGGTACTCCAGCTCGGCGAGAGGAGTACGCGGCATCGACGGGGGAGCCTGCCTGCTGCGTCTGGACCCGCGGTAAGTTCGAACTAAGGTACTTTGAATTCAGCTACGTTATTAACGTAGCTGAATTTGCGTACCTTAGTTCGAAGTGGGGGATTAGTGTGGACCAGGCCTTAGAGACTAACAAATTTATTTCAGCATAAGCTTTCGTGGGCTACAGCTCACTTCTTCAGATGCATAGAGTGGAACACACAGACAGAAGATATTTATACATACAGAGAACATGAAAAGGTGGAAGTACGCATACCAATTGTAAGAGGCCAGTCAATTGAGATGAGCTATCAGTAGCAGCAGAAGAAAAAACTTTGAAGTGATAATCGAGATGACCCATAGAAGGTGTGAGGAGAACTTAACATGGGGGGAAAAAATTCAATTAGTGTAATGACCCAACCATTCCCAGTCTCTGTTTAGACCTAAGTTAATTGTGTCTAATTTGCATATTAATTCGAGTTCAGCAGTCTCTCTTTGGAGTCTGTTTTTGAATTTTTTTTGTTGCAAAACTGACACCTTCAAGTCTGTCACTGAGTGATTAGAGAGGTTGAAGTGTTCTCCCACTGGTTTTTGAATGTTATGATTCCTGATGTCAGATTTGTGTCCATTTATTCTTTTGCGTAGAGACTGTCCAGTTTGGCCAATGTACATGGCAGAGGGGCATTGCTGGCACATGATGGCATATATCACGTTGGTAGATGTGCAGGTGAACGAGCCCCTGATGGTGTGGCTGATGTGGTTAGGTCCTATGATGGTGTCACTTGAATAGATATGTGGACAGAGCTGGCATCGGGCTTTGTTGCAAGGATAGGTTCCTGGGTTAGTGTTTTTGTTGTATGGTGTGCGGTTGCTGGTGAGTATTTGCTTGAGGTTGGGAGGCTGAGTAAATCCTGAGTAAAAGGTTTCAAGTGTATAAATGCCAACTGACAAAATACCTGTAGAAGAGTTGTCATTCACATGAATTATAAATTCTTAATATATGCATACTGTCACCAGAAAGTGGTGTGTTAAAGATGATCAGTAAAGGAAAAAACATTAGGCCTGTTGGGCTTCTTTATGGTGTATAAAGAAAGCCTCTGTTTTGCTGGTGGGTTTTTTTAATTGGTGTGTGGGGGGGAAATACTCCTTTTTTTGTTACACTAAATATTCAGCTCTTGTCTAACCTGGAAGACTCTAAGATGACTGAAGAACTAATGGAATGATTACATCACAAAATCAAGAGTGAAATGTTGTGCAATTGAGAGAGGAAGGGATTTTTAATCAGATTTTTTAAAAAGCTCTATTTTCTTATGTTTCTGTTTTAACTTCAGTGACTAACATTTTGGAGTAATGAAGTCTTTGATAAAAATCCATCACCCTGCCCCATCAGTTAAGGTGTGTGAATTAACAACAGCCTGAGATCCCCGGCAAGTCCCCTAACATAATCAGGGATTATCAGGTAGAAAACAAGCAGGAAAAAACTTTCAGGCCTCTTTTTATACCTTCATTAATTTTTTTAAAAAGACAATGGCTCTTTTTTAAAAAAAAATCCCTTGCATGTCAGCTTTATAAGCATCAGGTTATTGATGAAGAATTCTTTTTCTATTTCAGGTTTTGGAGCTTGAAGGTGAAAAAGGAGAATGGGGATTCAAAGCACTGAAACAGATGATTAAAATAAACTTCAAATTGGTAGGAGTTGCAGCTATCATTTCAGGAAATGCTAAATTGCATTAATATTGAATTGATTCACAGTTTTTAAATTGTTGTTCTCTCCTTATTTTTATCTCCAAAATTACATTTGAAAGAAAGCTAAAACATATAAAATAATTCTCTAATAATGTCCACATAAGCAATCATTATAGTTGCCACAGGGAACTTATATGGTCATGATTAATATTAACCTCATGATTAAGAAGTTTTGAAATCTAGACCCACTTTTCCCTATGCACCCATCCCAAGGTGCTGGAATAGATTGCTTGTGTGTAAATACAGCTATTACGTGTATTGACACCTTTTAAATAACATCGATGAGTTTGTCTTAAATTGACCAAACTCGGATTTTTCTAGAAAGCTGTGTGTGACGGTATCTCAGGTTACAACCTGGAATTGGGATACCACTGTGCTCTCTTAACTCTCCAGGCTGGGCTGTGTCTCACAATGCTTTGCTTGTGACAAGCAGCACACCCTCCAGGTGCTGTTGTCATTCAGTACAACAGCATATGTTATGCTTATACAAAGCACACGGGATCTTTATAGAGGAAGGTAAATACACACAGCATTTATTGAGAATACCACAGTTAGCATATGCTTTTTAGACACACACACACACACACACACACACACACACACACACACACACACACTCCTGCAGTGATGTTTATAGTTACCAGTCCAGAGTCTGGATCAAGCTAGTGGCCAGCCAGATTGGTCGCAGAGGGGAGCGGGGTTCTATCGGTCGCGATCCGATGCTCCTGGAGTGTGGCAAGACGAACCCAAAGTCCTATGGCAAAGCACCCTGTTCTTATAGGTTTTCTTCTCTGTTGAAGCCTATGGATTTTGCTGTGTCACTTTGTGACCGGTTACTTCTTAATTGGTGTAAACATTCCAATACACCTCCGAGAGGGTCATCCTGTCCTTTGTTCCCGATTTAATCAATTGTCTTTAGGGGTGCCAGCCTTTACCTCAGGGTCGTCAATCTGCCCTTCATTATGGATGCGCGTTGATGATTCTTTGATGTTCTTTAAGTTTCTTCACTCCTCCTTCCTTGACTCTGGCTATAACAATGGCCTTCACACCTTATCTTTTCCTGATGCATACATTCCTCATTCACACAAACAGATTGAGAATACAAACAGTAGTATTTTATATTGAGCAAAAGGGCATTGCAAATTAAACCTTGCTAAGTTTTACAATCAATAACCAAGACAATTTACATTGAGACCCAGGCCTTCAATGTTCCTCTAATCTACTTAACATAGACACAATAGAGAATCCTGTCTCTTACTTCCTAATTTGTAATACATATAGGAAACCATAGTAGCTTTATAACTTATTCTAAAACAAAAGGATGACCATAATTAGTCATAAGGATTGTCATTCCTTTCTGCTATTCAAAAAGGGTGGCTGACAAGATGAAATCAAATCATACATTAATTCTCATAGTACTTTATAAAATCCAGCTCCTACACATGTGGAGCCCCACACCCAGGGTATGTCTACACTACGAAATTAGGTCGAATTTATAGAAGCCGGTTTTATAGAAATCAGTTTTATACAGTCGATTGTGTGGGTGTCCTCACATAAAATGCTCTAAGTGCATTAAGTCGGCGGACCGCGTCCACAGTACCGAGGCTAGCATCGACTTCCGGAGCGTTGCACTGTGGGTAGCTATCCCACAGTTCCCGCAGTCTCCGGCGCCCATTGGAATTCTGGGTTGAGATCCCAATGCCTGATGATGCAAAAACAGTGTCGCGGGGGGTTCTGGGTACATGTCGTCAGGCCCCTCCCCCTCCGTCAGAGCAACGGCAGATAATCGATTTGCGCCTTTTTACCTGGGTTACCTGTGCAGACGACATACCACGGCAAGCATGGAGCCCACTCAGCTCAGCTCACCGTCACCATATGTCATCTGGGTGCCGGCAGACGTGGTACTGTATTGCTACACAGCAGCAGCTAATTGCCTTTTGGCAGTAGACGGTGCAGTATGACTGGTAGCCGTCATCGGCTATCTGGGTGCTGGCAGACGTGGGGCTGCATTGCTACACAGCAGCAGCTCCTTGCCTTTTGGCAGTGGATGGTGTATTACGACTGGTATCCGTCATTGTCATATTCCTCAGTGAGTTCAATCAGAGGCACCTGGGCAGACATGTTTTGTCTCCTGGAGACTCAGTCCTGCCAGCAGTCCTATTGAACTGTCTTGACGATGATAGCTAGCAGTCGTAGTACAGTATCTTCTGCCAAGCACCCAGAAGATGCCGATGGTTATCAGTCATGCTGCACTGTCTGCTGCCAGCTTAAGATGTAAAAAATAGATGGACCAGATTTGTTCTGTATTCATTTGCTTCCCCCTCCCGCCGTGAAATCAATGGCCTGCTAAACCCAGGGTTTTGAGTTCAATCTTTGGGGGAGCCATTCTGTGTGACAGTTGTTTGTGTTTCTCCCTGATGCACAGCCACCTTTGTTGATTTTAATTCCCTGTAAGCCATGTCGTCACTCGCCCCTCCCTCCGTCAGACAATAGTTTAGCGCCTTTTTTCAGCCCAGACGCCATAGCACTGGGATCAGGGAGCCTGCTCAGATCACCGCGGCAATTATGAGCACAATGAAAACCACGTGCATTGTCCTGGAGTATATGCAGAGCCAGAACATGCCAAAGCAAAACCAGGCGAGGAGGCGATTGCAGCGTGGTGACGAGAGTGATGAGGAAATTGACATGGACATAGATCTCTCACAAAGTACAGGTCCCAGCAATGTGCAAATCATGGTGTTACTGGGGCAGGTTCATGCTGTGGAATGCCGATTCTGGGCCCGGGAAACAAGCACAGACTGGTGGGACCGCATCGTGTTGCAGGTGTGGGACGATTCCCAGTGGCTGTGAAACTTTTGCATGCGTAAGGGCACTTTCATGGAACTTTGTGACTTGCTTTTCCCTGCCCTGAAGCACCAGAATATCAGGATGAGAGCAGCCCTCACAGTTGAGAAGCGAGTGGCGACAGCCCTGTGGAAGCTTGCAACGCCAGACAGCTACCGGTCAGTCGGGAATCAATTTGGAGTGGGCAAATCTACTGTGGGGACTGCTGTGATCCAAGTAGCCAATGCAATCAAAGACCTGCTGATATCAAGGGTAGTGACTCTGGGAAACATGCAGGTCATAGTGGGTGGCTTTGCTGCAATGGGATTCCCAAACTGTGGTGGGGCGATAGACGGAACCCATATCCCTATCTTGTCACCGGAGCACCAAGCCACCGAGTACATAAACCGCAAGGGGTACTTTTCAATGCTGCTGCAAGCCCTGGTGGATCACAAGGGACGTTTCACCAACAACAACGTGGGATGGCCGGGAAAGGTACATGATGCTAGCGTCTTCAGGAACTCTGGTCTGTTTCAAAAGCTGGAGGAAGGGACTTTCTTCCCGGACCAGAAAATAACCACTGGGGATGTTGAAATGCCTATCGTTATCCTTGGGGACCCAGCCTACCCCTTAATGCCATGGCTCATGAAGCCGTACACAGGCAGCCTGGACAGTAGTCAGGACCTGTTCAACTATAGGCTGAGCAAGTGCCGAATGGTGGTGGAATGTGCATTTGGACGTTTAAAAGCGCGCTGGCGCAGTTTACTGACTCGGATAGACCTCAGCGAAGCCAATATTCCAATTGTTATTGCTGCTTGCTGTGCGCTCCACAATATCTGTGAGAGTAAGGGGGAGACATTTATGGCCGGGTGGGAGGTTGAGGCAAATCGCCTGGCCGCTGATTACGCGCAGCCAGACACCAGGGCGGTTAGAAGAGTACAGGAGGGCGCGGTGCGCATCAGAGAAGCTTTGAAAACCAGTTCTGTGACTGGCCAGGCTACGGTGTGGAACTTCTGTTTGTTTCTCCTTGATGAACCCTCTGTGTGTCGCCCTCGCCCCCCCTCCCCCCGGTTCACTCTACTTCTCTGTAAACTAACCACCCTCCCCCCCCCCCCTTCGAGCACCGCTTGCAGAGGCAATAAAGTCATTGTTACTTCACATTCATGCATTCTTTATTAATTCATCACACAACTAGGGGGATAACTGCCAAGGTAGCCCGGGAGGAGTGGGGGAGGAGGGAAGGAAAAGGACACACTGCACTTTAAAACTTTAACACTTATTGAAGGCCAGCCTTCTGATGCTTGGGCATCATCTGGGGTGGAATGGCTGGGTGGGTGGAGGCCCCCCCCACCGTGTTCTTGGGCGTCTGGGTGAGGAGGCTATGGAACTTGGGGAGGAGGGCTGTTGGTTACACAGGGGCTGTAGCGGCGGTCTCTGCTCCTGCTGCCTTTCCTGCAGCTCAACCATACGCTGGAGCATTTCAGTTTGATGCTCCAGCAGCCGGAGCATTGACTCTTGCCTTCTGTCAGCAAGCTGACGCCACCTATCCTCTTTAGCCCGCCACTGAATTCGGCTTGCAGGCAGCCATGGTAAGCCACAGTCTTTTGGCTTTTTTAACCTTCATAACATGTGGGAATGGTTTCAAACGGCAGTGCCCTCATTTCCCATACCAAGGACCCGTTGGGTTGGCCATTTAAAATGGATTTGCAATGTAAAAGGAGGGGCTGCGGTTTCCGGGTTAACATGCAGCACAAACCCAACAACCCCACCCCACACACACCCAATTCTCTGGGATGATCACTTCACCCCTCCCCCCCCACCGCGTGGCTAACAGCGGGGAACATTTCTGTTCAGCCGAGCAGGAACGGGCACCTCTGAATGTCCCCTTAATAAAATCACCCCATTTCAACCAGGTGACCGTGAATGATATCACTCTCCTGAGGATAACAAAGAGAGATAAGGAATGGATGTTGTCTGCATGCCAGCAAACACCGGGACCATACGCTGCCATGCTTTGTTATGCAATGATTCCAGACTACTGGCCTGGCGTGGTAAAGTGGCCTGGCGTGGTAAAGTGTCCTACCATGGCGGACGGGATAAGGCAGGACTCCCCAGAAACCTTTTGCAAAGGCTTTGGGAGTACATGAAGGAGAGCTTTCTGGAGATGTCCCTGGAGGATTTCTGCTCCATCCCCATACACGTTAACAGACTTTTCCAGTAGCTGTACTGGCCGCGATTGCCAGGGCAAATTAATCATTAATCATTAAACATGCTTGCTTTTAAACCATGTGTAATATTTACAAAGGTACGCTCACCAGAGGTCCCTTGTGTGCCCTCAGAGTCTGGGAGCACGCCTTGGGTGAGTTCGCGGGTTACTGGTTCCAGGTCCAGGGTGATAAACATATCCTGGCTGTTGGGGAAACCAGTTTCTCCGCTTCCTTGCTGTGAGCTATCTTCATTGTCTTCATCATCATCATCATCTTCCACGTACCCCGAACCCGCTTCCCTGTTGCGTGATTCTCCATTGATGGCGTCAAAGCACACGGTTGGGGTAGTGGTGGCTGCACCCCCTAGAATGGCATGCAGCTCCGCATAGAAGCGGCATGTTTGCGACTCTGCCCCAGACCTTCCGTTTGCCTCTCTGGCTTTGTGGTAGGCTTGCCTTAGCTCCTTAATTTTCACGCAGCACTGCTGTGCGTCCCTGTTATGGCCTCTGTCCTTCATGGCCTCTGAGACTTTTTCTAATATTTTGCCATTTCGTTTACTGCTACGGAGTTCAGCTAGCACTGATTCATTTCCCCATATGGCGAGCAGATCCCGTACCTCCCGTTCGGTCCATGCTGGAGCTCTTTTGCAATCCTGGGACTCTATCATGGTTACCTGTGCTGATGAGCTCTGCATGGTCACCTGTGCTCTCCACGCTGGGCAAACAGGAAATGAAATTCAAAAGTTCCCAGGGCTTTTCCTGTCTACCTGGTCAGTGCATCTGAGTTGAGAGCGCCGACCAGAGCAGTCACAATGAAGCACGGTGGGATAGCTCCTGGAGGCCAATAACGTCGAATTCTGTCCACACTACCCCAAATCCGACCCGCAAAGGCTAATTTTATCGCTAATCCCCTCGTCGGAGGTGAGTAAAGAAACCGGTTTAAAGGGCCCTTTAAGTCGAAAAAAAGGGCTTCATCGTGTGGACGTGTCCAGGGTTAATTCGATTTAACGCTGCTAAAGTCGACCTAAACTCGTAGTGTAGACCAGGCCCCAGCTAGACTGCATGAATGCTCCCAGAGCCACTCACGAGTCACATAGAGAAAGGCACCAGCAAATCTCCTGAGCCTTGCACCCCAGGAATATACCGCCTTGCCCAGGTCAGAAGCCTGAATTGTGTAAGTTTATTATCCAGTCCACCCCTCCCTCAGTGCAGAGAGGACACTCTAGCTTTGTAAATTGAGCTGAGATTTCCCAAGCACTTCAGCCCAAACACACTGTTTAGGTAAAATATAAAACAGATTTATTAACTACAGAGAGAGAGAGAGATTTTAAGTGATTATCAGTGGTAGGCACAAAAGGTCAGAGATAGTTACCAAAGAAAATAAAAGGTAAGCACACAGTCTAAATCTCAATCCTTATTAGACTAAGCAGTATTTGGATCAAGCAGTTTTTCTCACCCCTCTGGATGTTGCAGGTATGTTACAGTTCTTAATACACTGGCTTTCCCTTTAAGCAGGGACCAGTCTCCTCTGTTCAAGTCTTTGACTTCCCAGCATTCTTGTTGCTTCCAGCATAGGTGGGGGAGGAGAAAGGTAAAAGCATGATGCCACTGTCCCCTATTTTATCTCCTCAGTCCATGTGCCTAAAATACACTAACACAGACATGTCCTGGTGGGTTTTGCTGAGTGACAGAGTTGAGCAATCCCCCATTGTGTGATGCTTGTGCAGCCCTCTTGCAGCATTGTAAATGCCTTATCCCTGCTGATTAATGGTCATTTAACACCCTCCTGTTAGTGGATCTCCTCCTTTTTTGTCACTGGAAAACTAGCAGTGGGCAACTCGCAACTAGGACTGTAGATAAATTGCAGTTAACTCATTTAACTCTCGCTATTAACTAAAAAAAAATTAATCACGGTTAATGGCAGTTTTAATCGCACTGTTAAACAATAGAATACCAATTGAAATTTATTAAATATTTTTGGATGTTTTCTACATTCATTTCAGTTACAACACCTTATATTATTTTTGATTACAAATATTTGTACTGTAAAAATGACAAAGTATTTTTCAATTCACCTCATACAAGTACTGTAGTGCAATTTCTTTATCATGAAAGTGCAACTTACAAATGTAGATTTTTGTTTGTTTGTTACATAACTGCGTTCAAAAACAAAACAATGTAAAACTTTAGAGCCTACAAGTCAACTCAGTCCTACTTCTTGTTCAGCCAATCGCTAAGACAAACAAGTTTGTTTACATTTACAGGAGATAATGCTGCCTGCTTCTTATTTACAATGTCACCTGAAAGTGAGAACAGGCATTCGTTCGCATGACACTTTTGTAGTACATTGTACATTTGTAAGTCCATCTTTCATCATAGAGATTGCACAACAGTACTTGTATTAGGGGAATTGAAAAATACTATTTTGTTTGTAATTTTTACAGTGCAAATATTTGTAATAAAAAATAAATATAAAGTGAGCACTGTAGACTTTGTATTCGGTGTTGTAATTGAAATCAATGTACCGTATATACTCGTTCATTAGCCCATTAGTTTATAAGCTGACTGCCCCCCAAAATGGATAGGGTCATACAGTTTTTGCTATTTTTACCTTTCATAAGCCGACCCTGTATTTCAGGGGTTGGAAAACTTTGGCTCCCGGCCCATCAGGGTAAGCCACTGGTGGGTTGGGATGTTTTGTTTACTTGGAGCATCTGCAGACATGGAGCCCCTCAGCTTCCTGTGGCCACGGTTCGCCGTTCCCAGCCAATGGACGAGTATGTACGGTATTTGAAAATGCAGAAAACATCCACAAATATTTAAATAAATTGTATTCTATTATTGTTTAACAGTACGATTAATCGTGATTAATTTTTTTAATCGCTTGACAGCCCTACTCACAACATATTTCAATAATAGCACACTAACAATATACATATTTTGGCAGAACAATTGGTTTTAGCTTACCATGACCTTTCATATGATATCTTACATGGCATGCTTTGTATGAAATATAATTATACGAGAGGGGTGGATATGGGGTTTCCAGGGTGATGCTTTGAGATACAGAGTGCCACCTTGTAGTTTTGAAAATTTGTTTAAAAAATAAAATGGGCTGATTACATTTTACATATCAAGCTCAGCAAACAGAATTTTTAGAGTGTCTTATAAAGTTCAGTTTTCTATATGAATTACAGGTAGCTAACGTGAGACATCTGTGACGAGATCCCCCTGGGGTGCAGCCTGGGACTGTGGGACCACTGTGCCCCCTTAACTCTTTCCAGCCTGGGCTGTCTCTCATAATGCCTTGCTAGTGACCATTAGCAAGCCCCTCCAGGTGCTGTGATCACTCAGCACAACAGTATGTGGAGCCTCACACACCCAGCTAGATTGCATGAATGCTCCCAGAGCCACTCATGAAGCACACAGAGAACGGCACCAGAGCCAAATCCCCTCCCAGCACTGTACCTCAGGAATATACCGTTTTGCATTACTCAAGATGGGCAGTGCAGATTTATTAATTGGTTCACCACTTGAGCAATGGAAAGTGGTTGTACACCAGCCTTTGCAACACCTGAGATTTGCCACACACTTCATACAAACTCACCGGTAAAGTTAAACAAGTTTATTGACTATAAAAGGTAGATATTAAGTGATAGGCGAAAAGTCAGAGTTAGTTACCAAAAGAAATAAAATATAATCATGCAGTCTAAACTCTCAATTCTATTAGACAGGGCATCAACTAGATTAAGCAGTTTTTCTCACCACACTGGATATTGCAGCCCTTAGTATACAGATTTCACTCTTGAAATCTGGGCCAATCTCCTCTGTTGGAGTCTTGTCTTCTCAGTGTCTTAGTTGCTTGCAGCGTAGGTGGGGGCAGGAGAAGGGCCCAGTATGTGTCCAATCTCTGTTTTATAGCTCAGTCCATGTGCTTGGAAAACACAAGTCCAGGCATGTCTGGGGGCATTGCTGAGTCTCCAAGCAAGGTTGAGCAATTCCCCTGGTGTGGCCTCATGCAGGTGAGTCATTGCATTGTAGCTCCTTTGCTGGACAATGGTTGTTGATGGATTGATTGATACCCCACCGGGTATTGGCTACTTTCCTTGCTGTTGCCTCTGGGGAGCTAATGTCTGGCTGATTCCCCAACTTACAGCAAGTTTTAGTGACCACCATACAACACAATTGTCATAAATTTATATGCATTAATGATATACATATATGGATAGAGAAATTACTTTCAGCAGGTCATAACCTTTCCCCGATACCTTACAAGGCATGCTTTATATGTAAGGTCACGATTATATAAAATGAGGAATATGGGGGTTCCAGGATGCTCCCCCAAGGTATAGAATGTCACAACATCGTTCACTATAATGTGTTGGTAGGAAATATGTTTTCACACGAAATAAAGTGGCCATGCTAATTCTCAAATAGACTTCTCTATTTAATTTTCTGTTCTATGAAGATCCATTTAACTCACTTTTGACTCTGCCACTTATGAGTAATGTGGTCATCCTAAATAGGTGACAGAAAACTTAGAGCAATCACAGACGTGCATCACTGCGTAGTCTCTCTACTGTAATGTCTTTGGGTTTTCTGTGCATATTTACAGATGTTCGTATCTAATGGCAATGTTCAGTATACAATTTTTCATGATTATGAATTATATATGTTTTTCCTCAGACTAACTTTCCTGAAATGATGAACAGATATAAACAGCTATTGACCTACATACGGAGTGCAGTTACAAGGAATTACTCTGAAAAATCCATCAATTCTATTCTTGATTATATCTCCACTTCCAAACAGGTTAGATTACCATTCCTGTAATGTTGGTGGTCCTCGTCCACCTATCCATTTTTTGCATGGACTTTTTGCCTTTTGAAAAGCTGATTCTTGGTATAATTGGAGAAAAATTATAATATTACATTTGTTACAGTATGCTAAATATTGTTCCCCACAATTTATTGATCGTGTGTTAAAAATAACTTGTCTTTAACTTTAACTTTAATGTCATCTACACAAGATTAAAACAGGCTAGAAACTACTTAGTATCTCTTACCTGGGATTTCTATACAGCTAAATGTCACAAATGACTTGTTTTTCAGCGAAGTGGCTACCACCATCAATAGGTTCTCATAAGTAATTTGTAATTAAAATAACTCTGTATAGTCATTAATTTTGCATTCAGATACGGTAAGAAATGTACCTATCTTTCAGACTAGTAAAGTAAGCAGACTAGGTACGTAGTACCAGATCCATGGCCAAGCTCTGCTCTCTTTGTGCTACTGGAGCAGCATAAAGAAAGAAGAAAGCTCCCCTGAGCTCCTAGCTGGGGATACCCAGCATGTGAAGAATTGCCAGCACACAGAGTTAACTTCTATGCCTTCCTCCCCTCCTGCAACACATGGGGAGGGACAGGTGAAGTGACTGAAGTGTGATATACTCTGGCAGTTCCAAGGATGGGTAGCCTTAGGAGCATACCTAGTTGGCAGTTTAGAGTATCTGTTCTAAGTTGTGCCAGGAGCTAGGAATGGATAGAATCAGGGACTCATACCTGCAACCTAAAAGCCACTGGGCCCCTTCCCAACTGCACCCAGCAGATAATCTGGCCATTAAGTGTACAGAAAGTTTCTCTCTCAACTTTCTAGATTATCTAATTTTTAAGAAAATGCTATTAAGCGCTCTGCAATTTTGGGTGTTAGTTTGTTTCCATACAGGAACATCTTCTGGTCTGCTCTGAGCAGAAAAGACAGACATTTTTTCTTCTTATTTCATGCAGTATTTGGATAGGAGGGAGAAAATATCTTTTATTGACCCCTTCCCCTCCTATCCTTTTACCCTTGTTGGTCTCTCTTTTTTCAGTTTCCAGTAACAGTAATGCTAGCTTTCTGTCAGTATTTTTCTTAGATACTTACATTACAATGATTTTATTATCTGCTTAAGATGGATAAGTAGCTTTGGTTCTTCACTAATATGATAAATTGCAGATTTTAAAACCTTGTGCAACTTATTTTGAATTAAAAGCTTACATCCGGGTGCTTCTAAATGCTTTTGTCAGTTCCAAACTTCAGTGAAATCTTCTATTTTATGATAATACTGTTGATTATTTATTATGCTTAAATTTTGTCATTTTAGTTGCAATTTCTGCTATTTATTTATAAGTAATCGTTCAATAAGATGCAGATTTCTGTATCTTATTTGTGTTGAAGTTCAAACATGCACTTTTAGTTTGTTCAAACTGACTATATTAACAGGTACAAATTTGCTGTTTACAATTATAGAATTCTGATTTTTTATGCCAGATGGATTTGCTTCAGGAATTTTATGAAACAACACTTGAAGCTCTGAAAGATGCTAAGAATGATAGATTGTGGTTTAAGACAAACACAAAGGTAAAATATATAAATAACATTTAGTTTTATTTTTTGCTTGCTATAACTTCCTTAAATTGCAAGTCTAAATTTTATAAATTCCAAAATCCTAATTGTCCTAATGGCTTTAATTCTTTAATCACAGCTTGGCAAATTATATTTAGAACGAGAAGAATATGGAAAATTACAGAAGATTTTGCGCCAGTTGCATCAGTCATGCCAGGTACAGTAGAGTAGATATTTAAAAAAAAAAAAAACTTTACTACCCCAAAACTACATGTAAAATCATTCACTGTAACTTTGTATTTAGTACTAATTTCACATCCAGTTTTCAGGCCATGAGAATGGCATATCATTATACTTTGTAAATAGAAATTAAATCTAATGCTTGTTTTAATTCCTTATCTGTTTTGTAACTTGAAATAAAAATGATAGAATAGTTAATTTCTGGTAAAAAGATGAATTTTCATAACCATCAGACAGTAACTGCATTATCATTACATTTCACTTGGGTGCGGGAATGAGAAGCATTTGTGAATTATTATTCCCTCTAATGTATTATTAAAATTAATACAAACTATTTGGGGGGGAAAAAACTGTATTTAAACCAACAGAGAAGCAAAAATTCTAAATGAAGCTTAACCGTAGGAGAAAACTATGGCCTTTACTTCATTGTGGAAAAAATATATTAAGCCACATGCATTGGCCAAATCAGCCTCCAGCTTTGCCTATCCTCTCCATCTTTATGCTGAACAAAGATGATGTACACCTGGGAATCTGGCCCATTATTAGCAATAGTATGGTCATGAATACATCACTGCTCTATTGCAGTGGTTACGTGGCTTTAACTTTTGTATACTGAAAGAAATTCTTAAGATATGAAATGTACAGAAGGTCAACTCTTGAAGTCCTTACTCAAGCAAAATTCATAGTAAAGTCAGTATTTTTACCCAAGTGAAAAACTTCAGAACTTGGTCCATGCTGGCTTCCTTGAACATAATGTTTTAATTTCACTGGTTGTATTAAAAATATGGTATTTGGAAACTTCCTTATTTTTGGCAGGAGATTTCTGAAAATATTTAGTAACACACTTTTATATTAGTAGAATGGTGACCTCAGCATTATTTCAAGATTCACAGTATTCATTATTACTCTTTCCTAGACTGATGATGGAGAAGATGATTTAAAAAAGGGCACCCAGCTATTGGAAATCTATGCATTGGAAATTCAAATGTATACAGCACAGAAAAATAACAAAAAACTTAAAGCACTATATGAACAGTCATTGCACATCAAGTCTGCCATTCCTCATCCACTGATCATGGGGGTCATCAGAGGCAAGTTGTTTTTATTTTACTACTTTAAAATTCCTTTGTTCAGACCAGTGTCACTTAAATTAAAAAATATCTTACTTTTTTATGTTGTTTCAACTGAAAATACGTTACAGAAAACGTTCCAAATATCTGATCTCATTGAATTGCATTGGCAACTAAAAAAGCATTAGGATTCACTGGAAGTACATATTTAATGGCCAGTAATGGTTGAATGAATTGTAGTGAGGGCATGTACCATGTCTGAAAGCACCTTTCACCAGGATATGGCTATCACTTGTCTCCTCTGCTGACAGGAAACCTGCCAATTAGAGCAGTAAAAGGAAAATAATATTTCTCATTTGACTTTCTAAATAGTTTTTCTAAAAATATGTTGGATAGTTCCCATAAATAGATAATGTTGCTATGTATTCTCTTTGAAGTTTGTCATTGGAATAAATTCCAACTGAGTAAATGTATTAATTGCAACTTTTTAACAAAAAGGTTGCAAAGGTATACTTTTCTTTATAGTCACTGAGTGATCTTAGGAGTGGTTATTTTTAATAATATTTGAATTGGAAAACCAAAAAAGAAGTTGCTGCCTTACATTGATGTGCTAATGCTTTTTCTCAGCAATTTTAATGAATTAAAAAAAAAACTGAAAATATATTCAGGAATCAGTTTAGACATAGCATGGTACATTTAGTAGAATCGTTCTGATAAATGGCTGCAAGCACACAGCTTCTCCTTTCATCATTGTTTTCTTTTCAGAATGTGGAGGCAAAATGCACTTAAGGGAAGGAGAATTTGAAAAGGCACACACTGACTTTTTTGAAGCATTCAAGAATTATGATGAATCAGGGAGTCCTAGAAGAACCACTTGCTTAAAATATTTGGTCCTAGCAAACATGCTGATGAAGTCCGGAATAAATCCATTTGACTCTCAGGAGGTATACTTATAAATGTGCACAAGTTGGCTTAGCTACTGCTTTTCCCGTTTAATAGGGAAATTGGCATAAATAGCTTTTTTTGCTACCTAAATGTACTTATTATGGTTTCTGTTCTGTGTAGGCTAAACCATACAAAAATGATCCAGAGATTCTAGCAATGACAAATTTAGTAAGGTAAGATATTTTATTTTTCCTGAAGGGCAAAGTTACTAACCATGAAACAGATATTTTTGTTTTGTTTTGTTGAAAATAATACAAACAGACTTTTTCATAGGTATCAAACCAGCATTTCGGTTTTGGATTTTCAATGTTTCTGTTGTTCAGAAGCTTTCTGTTTAGTGTGATCTATATCAGTAATACTCAGACTGAGGCTCACGAGCTGCAAGTGACTCTTTAATGTGTCTCCCGCAGCGCTTTGCAGCACATGATATTAAAACACTGTGTGATTTAATCAGGATGCTTTCACTATGTTATTAACCAATTATTGTTGATAAAAATAATAATACTTGGTCAGTTATTTTGGTGTGAGAGTTTGTGTGTGTGTATGTATATGTATAATATATAAAACTAAATATTTCCCCTGATGTGCTGTTTAAATATGAATATATAGTACTAATAGTAAATGAAACAATGAATTCATACTACTGTGGCTCTGTTGGGTAATGCTGATTGCTAACTTGGCTCCTGAACCACTGAGGTCTGAGTATCACTGATCTATATAAAATTCTTTACAGTACCAGTTCAAAAAGACCACACTAAGAACATATACTTTTTTGTTTTACATCTAAAACAGTATATCAGGCTGAATTCCTATCTGGTGTCATTAATGTTATTGTTTTTCCGTAAAGGCAAGTGTCTTCCAAATATCCTAATTCTGAATCATGAGATTTTATTTACAAGACTGGGGAACTGACTAAAAAGATGTTCTTTGAGGTTTGGACATCCGAGAGATCACATTTGTTTGCTGATTTTATGGCTAAATTGTCTCCAACTATCAGCTTATTTACTGTGATTATCTAGTGAAAATTTGACTGAACGTTGTATTCAGAAGCAAGAATTATCTTTATAATTGTTATGATTATATTTAATTGTATTTATTGCATATAAAGGCTGCAAATTTTATTCTTTTCTTTCCATGAGCTGATCCTTCTCTCTTATAGTTCATCATAATATTAAAAAGAACATTCACATGGGTTTTTTTTCTTTAGGAAATAACATGAGTGCTCTTTTTTTTTTTTTGGTGGAAGTTCAGTATACTGCATGATAATAGAAGCCAAGAGATTACTAGTCCTGGAATAGAGGGTATTTAAAAATGTTTACAACTGCATTTGTCAGTGAGTTTCAAGGCATTTAGAGTTTCCAGGATGGCCAATGCTGACTATGCAAATTCAAATTTGGTCATTTAGAGTCTGATTTTTTCAGAGTTGCTGACCACCTGCAAATCCAGTGGCAGCTGGGAATGCCCGGGACTTCTGAAAATCAGGCCCATTAAGCTTTCCTTGAAGGTTCATATGGTATGTTATATTAGTGGGATAATTTGGAGGCATTGAGATGCAGTATTTTCGCACATCAAGGCATGTGTGCCAAAGGAGTTTTATGGCAGGGTTTTTGGAATAGAGCTTTCAAGTCTCAAATCCTGCGGGCATGTGTCCCCCTAAGCATATGAAGATCCAAAGTGCTACATGGCTTTTTACAGAGAATGTGGTCAGCAGTGTTTAGGCCCTAGGGTATCAAGACCATCAACGTATGTAGATTATATTGCGACAGTTCTTTCATGCTTCACCAATCAGGTCCTGTCCACTATAAGCAGCTTCTCTCTTGATAAATAAGAAGCAATCTGTGTTCAGTTCTCTTTTGCAGTCAAAAGATGGGGAATTCCTCTGTCCAAATATTGAAATATATAGTTAACACTGTGGGCCAAACATTGTTCAGCTACAACTACTGTTTGCTATCAGCTGCTCAAAAACAACAACACTCTTTCTGAAGTCAAAGAGGCATATGCATTATTGACCTAATGATAAATAAAGGATTTGGCAATCTGTGGAGGGATTTCTTCAGAGAATTTCAATTCCATATACGTCCTTTCTACTTTAGCTTCATGCTTTCATGTAAATTTGAGACAGAAGGAACTCCCATGGGCTTTAGCAAGCCTGCTTTCAGTCATACTACCTAATTTATATTCTTTATCTTTACATCTGAGTATATTTTTCTCTCAAAAATATGAAAGCAAGTAAAAAATATAGCACAAATTACAAAGCTGCAGCAGATAACATCAATTTTGTTAAAGTTACAATGCTATTCTTAATTTCTACTATAATTAGAAACTAAATTTGCATTTAGATTTTCTGGGGAACTTACACATTTTGTACATTGTAAAACAACTTTGTGGGGTGCCCTTTGAAATTTTATATGTAATTTAAATGCCATTTAATTATGAGATGTTTATATCAGGTTTATCAACTACTACAAACATTTGCTTCTGCATTGTTTATTGTCTCCTCAGAGTTGATCCACAGTGAAGTCTAATGCTGAGGTTATAGCATCATAATTATTTTGTCATAGAGTTTGATGTGTATAAGCACAAAGATTACTTTGCTGTAGGTTCGGTCAGAAAGAATATCCACACTATGAAGGAGAAAATCATTACTAAAACACACACATTCACAAACACAATTAACAGCAATTGAATGCATATACTGGACAATACATTGCTGATGCCTCTTGGCACTTAAACACATGAGGTTCCAATAAGGTGCATCAGGACACATCCATATTAACATAACAAAACAATTGAGTAACTTTGAGTGACTATATTTTTAGTGTTTTTAATAGGATAACTTTTTAAAATACAAATAGTTCAAGACCAATTTATAGTTGCAAAAGGGCAGAACATTCATATTAAACTTCTGTGAACACTAACAAAATATGCAGTAGAAGAAATGAAGGAGCTACAGTGTTATCTTAAGATGCATGTTTTCAACACCCTTTTATCTTAAGCATCCTCAATTTCTAACTATCAGAAAGATTGTGACTGTAATTCTTTGCTACCAATATTTAATATACTTTTTAGTATGTGGAAACTGGAAATCTTATCCTGATCTGAGACTTTTTTTTTACTTGACAAAACTGTAATTCACTCTCCTCTCTCGTTGAAGTGCCTATCAGAATAATGACATCACTGAATTTGAGAAGATTCTGAAAACAAATCACAGCAACATCATGGACGATCCCTTCATAAGGGAGCACATTGAAGGTATGGTCACAGGAAGTTGTTGTCACAGTTCAGGGCAACTGCACCTGTGTTTCCCCTGATTGGGCACCAGCTTCAGGCTTTCAGCTTCCTAGTTTTTGCCTTTCTGGATGGAGACCCCCGTGTCTCTCTCCCTGCAGACCAGGGTATTTCCAGGCTGCACAGTTCCCTGCCTTCACTATGTTCTTCCCAGCACGGGCAAGTTGCCCAAAGGCACGTGCTTGCTTTCTCTTCAGACATGGTTAACAGGTGTAATTGCTACAGTACCACACAGTTCATTGTGTGCACGCCTATTTTTTTATTACCATAAAAAGCAATACAGAGAAAGCATATTATAAAGAACCTACACCCATGCTAATAAGCTTACCAGATGTTACTCTAACATTGATTCTGACAGGAATCATCCTTCATCCCCTTCTCCCCCCACCTAAGGGGATTCAGCTTGTGGTTACAATTCATTATAGCTTAAACTCTGAACTAGCACACTCATAAGATGTTTAGTCCACCGTTTATACAGTTCAGGGGTCTTTGACCTGGAGTTTCTAGAAGCATGTTGACCGTGGGCTTTCCTACCTTGAGGCTACCTTGAAAAAGGAGGATTCAAAGTGAGTCATTTGCATCCACTTCACAGGTATTGGTCCAAAAAGTCCTTTGAAGTTCCTAATGCCATCCAGAGGTTGCATTAGTCAGTCTCCTATAGAAGATAGATACACTCAGTTCCACAGGAACACAAACAATTGCATCTTTAATACAGTGGACCCCAAAGATGTTAAACTTAATTCAAAGTTTAGCTTCATTCAGTGAACATCATTCGGGATACTGTCAGTCTGTCCTAGTTGTAATTCTGTTTTTTCCCTTACTTGTTAAGATATATTTCTTCTGCATTGGGAGAATAATAAAAAATAAATGTTCCTTATAAGATGTTATTGCTGTTAACAATACAGTTAGTGTTTAAAAACTCTATCCTTGGAAGTCAGGGTTAATGAGATGCTTTGCTATATAACTGTGAAAATTACCAAAACAATAGTTGCTTTTGGTAAAAGGAGCACACTTGCAACCAGATTTATGAATAAAAACAGCAGCAAACCTAGAGCCTCATCTATTTGAAGTAATGGAAAAATTACAGCTGACTTCAGTCAGCTTTGGATGCGGCTCCTATTGAGGAAAAGCATGTGTGGTTAACAGCTCATGAGGGCAATCTGAATATGACTAAAACTGTTATTCGTAAAAGATATATAATTGCATGGAAGTTATTGGGTCAGATCCTATGATGCAGCCAAACTATGCAGAATGTGATGGTATCTTAAAATTCAATCTTTGTGCTCCCTAGTGGTGCTCTGTACAAGTCATCCACCCTGTGTTGTATTTTGAGGGCATAGTATAGGGACCCATCAGCCACCCCCCCTTTTTTTCTCAAGCCATACTCCATTTTCATTGCTACACCAGAAGCAGGGAGAGTATGTGGGGTTCAAACCTCTATCAGCTCTTTATCACTGAAGGATCATCCTTAGGCAGAGGTGATCCTTCCTGGACCAATTAATACGGCTTTTTAGCCAAATGTGATTAATAGTGCAGTGAAATGTGACTACACTGCATTGGAGGATCTGGCCCATTATGACATTAATTGTCACTAATTAAAATAAAAAGTATTGTAGTATATTCCTATATAGTGTTAAGTTTGGGTTTTCATGTGAGAGATTTGATAAGCATACAAACAGCAGTAAAACAGTCAGCTGGCCGAGTGAAGGAAAACCGAACAGGCTTAAAAAATATTAGTGAATAGCAAACTTCTTTTGTGAACTTTCATACATTTTTATTAACAGTTCATGCATGCATATTTTTAATTTATTAAACTTGCAGTTTATCTAATAAGTGAAAAACATTCTTAGCTGTTGCACAGACTCTTTACATTGCAACTCTGCCTCAACTCCTTGTCTTGTTAGGCTATTAAACTCTGATTCTGCAAACAGACTTCAGTGGGGTTACTCCTGTGCTTAAAATCAAGCATATGCGTATTTGCAGGGTTAGTGCCTTAAACTTTTCACATTTTGGTGAAAGACAGGTATTTCTGTAGTAAGCTGAGATGGTAAAGATACTGTGCAATATTGTGTACCATTTATCCATTTTCTTAGAATAATTTTAAAATAGTTACAAACTATTTTGAAAAATGTATTTTCAAGCTTAAACAAGTTTCAACATTATCCAGTACTCCTGCTAATACCCAGGCTGAGCTACATATTGTGAAACAACCAGTGAAGAAAGTTGGCTTATTTTTATAATGTGGGAGTACTTTATTACCATATAGGATCATAGCAGTTAAGAGATGGAAAAGACCTACTAGATATAAATATGGAACTATATTGCACACTTGCTCATTTGAATATGTAACCATTGTTCTTACAATAGTTACTTATTTGTTTTTCTTCTCTTACAGAGCTTTTGCGAAACATCAGAACACAAGTGCTTATAAAATTAATTAAGCCTTATACAAGAATACATATTCCTTTTATTTCTAAGGTACTTATCAGAGGAGATTTGTATTTGCTTAAATTAACGACAATTATGAATCAGCATAGCTGTCAAACAAATACAGCACTTCCCTATATGGAACATCTGAAAATATAACATGGCCCCCAAAATGCAGTTAATAGAATGCTGACAGTTTTGCAGTGTGGAACTGTACATTTACATGTAATCTGAATAATTCTTATTAATGCTATGGTAAATGTTTAAGATGTTTAGCTGCCAATTTTGCAGCATAGAGACGCACTTGCTTAGAGGGAAGTGTAAAAAATACTTGAAAGTGCATAATTCCTCTTAGGCAACTATAATAAATATGAACTAGCATGCACAAACTCTGATGAAATTTCAGCTGTTTTAAACTCTTCTTGTCTAGCAGATATCATTAAAAGTCAGTGATGTCAGAGTTGTAAGTCTGACAAGAGGTGGAATAACAAATTCATAAATTAAAAAGCCAGAAGGGACTATTATGATTATCTAGTCTGACCTCCTACATAATAAAATTGAAGGACATTTCCATCAATTGTGAGAGGGAAATGTACCTTTATGACCTTAGTTTATGTTTGATTAAATTGATGGCATGCTAAAATGTATGAGGTACTAAGGAAGAGTTAAGCATAGGTTTTATAATATAAGCACAAAATCTAAGGTTGATAAAATTGTCTTTACACAGATTACTGTAAGTAATTATTTAACATTTTTTTTTTAAAGATGCCATTTGCACTAGGGTGACCAGACAGCAAGTGTGAAAAATCGGGATGGGGGTGGGGGATAATAGGCTTCTATATAAGAAAAAGCCTCAAATATCGGGACTGTCCCTATAAAATCAGGACATCTGGTCACCCTACATTTGCACAGAATTCATCAAATTTGCAGCACAAGATAGGCCAGGAGTTTCGCTACTTCTTACATATTTGGCCTTCTGAAGCACTGCTAGTGAGCACATGCAGAGGTGCTGAGTTTTTCTTTTCCCCGGGGTGCTCCACCACCACTCTACCCTGAGGCCCTGGCCCCATTCCATCCCTCCCCTGAGGCCCTACCCTCTTCCTGCCCCTGCTCTGCCTCCTTTTCCAGGCCCCGCCCCGGCTCTCCACCCTCCCCCAGATCCCTGCCTGCTTGCTGCTCTCTGCCCTCCCCAAGCTCTCCCCCAGCTGCCAGTCAGCTGTTTGGCAACACCTCCAAACAGCTGCACCCACTATTTTTTTTTCTGTGGGTGTTCCAGCCCCAGAGCACCCACGGAGTCAGCGCCTATGAATGCATGCCCCTTCCATTCCAACTGTTAGACCAGGGCTGGCCAAACTGTGGCTCACAAGCTGTATGCGGCTCTTTTACAGTTAAAGTGTGGCTTGCAGACCCCCTCCCCCCCCATCCCGCATTCTCTGCCTATCAGACTGGGGCGGGGAGAGGGCGGAGCTCAGAGCTTCTACCCTGCAGTGGTGTGGTGGGGCTAGGGGCTTCTGCCAAAGACAACTGGTGCCATCTGAAAATGGGGGGATACAATTTAAAGGTTTGTTCCCCCTCAACACTTGAGTCACACCTCCTCAGGCATGCCCGCCCCCCCCCTTACCCTCAGCGGCCCCACACTGCAGCTTCCAGGTGTTTGCCGCTGCCTCTCCCCACAGCCGCAGCTCCCAGCTTGCCGACTCCAGCAGCTGCCACGCAGCGAGGGGGCCCAATGCAGGGACAGCAAACCCTAGCAAAAATCCGGGGGCGGGAGCACATGACTCCCCCCAAGTGTTGCCTCAGCTTCTGCCCAGTGGAGGGTCTCAGGGTTTCAGCCTCGTAGGGCGTGCCTGCCAAGGCTCGGGGCTTCAGCAGGAGTGGCGATGAAGCCCTGAGCCCTGGCAGGTGCGCCCCAGCTCTCGAACTCATGAAGATTGCCATATGAGGCACGCAGGGTGAGTATGTCTGGCCACCATTGTATTAGATCTCCTGTAATCTTCTGATCTGTTCCTTTATGACTGCAATCAATGAAAGAGTTCTCTGCGGGAGCTGCTCGCTGAAATTTAGGGGTGGCATCTTGAGCTCTTCTGAGATGCTGCTGATCTTTTTCTTGTTGACAGTGTATATCTTGGTTGTTCTTTTCCTATTCTCTCTGATTATTATTGACTTGGTGCTATAGTCTAACATTAAGAAACTGAACTCAGTACTTACGTGTGAAAATTAAAATAAAAAAGATTAAATGTTGGTTGCAAAATAGTACGATGGCAACATAACAAGAGTTTTCTGTCTTAGGAATTAAACATAGATGTAGCTGACGTGGAGAGCTTGCTTGTGCAGTGCATATTGGATAAGTATGTACTTTCCTCCTATTTCTGGTTTATTGAATATCTTAAAAGTGTCGTGTAGAAAAAACAGCAAATAGAGTGTGTGTGTGTGTTTCCACTGAAAATGCCATTTGAGTCTACAATTACATAAGATAATGTGTAAGCTAAATCCTTTGGAGCTGTCTGGGTTAGTAACATGAGTCACATTAGAAGATGTGAATTCAGAAGTGTTTTAAGTAGTTTAAATGGTATGATTTTACATTACTTTTGCATTTTATAATGGCATATAATTGAATCACTATGCCAAATTATGTAAGTTATATATTACTAACTGGTGTTTAGATCTATAAATATGTAAAGGCTGAGATTTTCAAAGCCTTTTAATTATAAGGGAATGGTGTCTAAATCTCCTAGCTAATTTGCATATCTCAGCCATAGTTTATAAAACAACTGGAGAATTTTTTTGTATTGATTTATTCTTTAGTTTGCTGAGTTATAAGAAGTTTTACTGTTAAAAAGAGAAGAAATGTTTCACTGTTTTCTGAATTTTTAAAAAAAATCTTTATCTTTAATTCCTATATTTGAGAAACCTTATTGGAGTTAGTGAATTCACTGTAAAACAAAGATCAGGTGTTCTCTAAAGTGCTGTTTATATCAGGTGACCTTAAATTCCTACAAGCACCTCTGAGCCAAATGCACTGCATGCACATTAGTCCTAGTGTCTCTATCTGTTAGTGTTTGGCAGGGGAAGTGGGTCTGCAGTATAACCTCTCATCATAATAATTTCCCACCAGGCAATACATTGTGCAGATGTTAAATTCCTAGGCCAGTCAAGCTCTTAAATAAATCCTAATGTCTGTTTTGCATTAGTTGTGTGTGTGTTTTGAGTGAATCACTGTTTTTTCAGATTTTTAATGTGCATTACAGATGTATCTAATTAGAGTTTTTTTTATCTTTCTAGCACTATTCATGGCCGAATTGATCAAGTCAACCAGCTCCTTGAACTGGATCATCAGAAGAGGGGTGGTGCACGATATACTGCATTAGATAAATGGACCAACCAACTAAATTCTCTCAACCAGGCTGTAGTCAGCAAGCTGGCTTAACAGAAAACAAGCTTTTACAAAACGTACTTAAGGCAACAGTGCAGTGATGTAAACCTTAAAAGAACTGGGAATGGCAAAACTACTGTCGGTTGATGTGCCCTGAAATTATTGGAGTTATGGCAGAAGTGCTTTTTTGATCAGCTGGTTTGTGTTTTGCTGCTGCATTTATCCCAAGAAAAACAGCTTTAATCTCCAGAAGAAAACCAAAATGCCACGGGATTTATGCTGTATTGACATCTCGCCCTAAACATACAACATGATAGTAATTTGTCAAGGGCAACTAATGACCAGAGAGAAGATTTTTTTTGTCATGATTTTAAATACACTGACACGTTACTGTTGGTTAAATTTAAACATGTTTTACCTGCAGAAATTCTCTCACAGAAATAACCTGCAATAACTTGAAATGCATACCCTTTTGAACACTTCCTTTTCTCATGTATAAATTGAAATGTTTGCTGCATTTTTCAAAATGTCAATTCTCCAAAAATGTGTCCGTATATTTCTGTACCTGCAGCGTAGTAAAGGTTTAGAGGAAACCCCGTAATTATAGTGGCATACTGTCACTTAGGTTTCAAGCAGCAAAATAAACAGTGCAGTTCAGAAATTGTACAGTTTGTTTCTTGATGTGTTTTCATTACATTTTGTTTTTTAGAAAAGTAGGTAAGTGAGTATTCCTCACCTCAGATACTGAGAACATTTGGAGATTAAATCTTAACCTTGGTGCATGCTTTTGGTTTATTTCTTACCATATTTATGTACAGATATTATAGAGATTTAAGAACTGATATCTAGCAGTCTTGCTGATTTCAAGGCTTTATTTTGAGAGGTACAGTTATCTTGCAATTCCAGTGGTAGTCAATGGTGGTAGGGGGTCTGCACTTCTGAGTATCAGGTCCTCATTTTGATCTCGGTATTTCAAATAAATGTTTGGTAGGAAATGGCTTGGGGGGAATTCAGACCACCATAGCTGACTTTAAGTTTGTGCCTTGTTAAACTAGATTTATGTTCTGACTTGGTTCTGAATTTAACTGTAATACATTATGTAAGTAGAATACCAACATTTGGGAGTGATACTGAGATTTCTGCAGTATGGGTATAGAATAGGGCTTAGTGCAGTGATAGGAGAGATGGAGTCTGTGCAGTCCCTTCACAGCCACTATTCAAGCCCTGACAGAGCATAGCAAACTTCTCCCCTCCAGGAGTTCTGGGCCACTGGATCTATTTAACTATGGATCTGTAGTGTCCTCCAATGAGTCCACTGCAACGGCTCTCTCTGTGGCAGCCTGTTTAATGCCAGTACAGAACCCCTCCAGCAGCCCACAGGGAAGGGATGTGGAAACCTTCCTGTGTGGCCACTTTGTCCACACTTCCACTCACTCCATTCAAGACAGATGCATGGTTTAAATTATACAAAGGGGCAATGCCAGGTACGCTTCTCACAGGATGAATATATTCTTAAAGCAATAAAAACCTGAAGACATTTAAGAATAAAAGTGAAACAATTTAAACTCTCTTCAAACACAAAGGAGAATAACAAATAGCAAATGCTGTGTCACTTTCTGTGAGAGGAGAGGCAGGGGAGTGAGATACCAGCTAGTAAATCAAATGTTATAGGACAGCTTGTGAATGACAGAGTTGAAAGAAAAAGATCTGAAACTGTACTATCTAAAATTTAACCTCACGGACTTGAGTAACAAGGCCTCTTGCTGAACTGCTGGACGTTTCAAAGGCTATAGGAAAAAGGTTTATTTTTGTGTGTATAATATAGTATTTTATCATATATCAGATATTCTGGAATGCAATTCTCTATCCAGTCTTATTGAAACAATAAGCTAATGCTAAGTATTACATTGAGATTGTCAAATTTAGGTAAACTAAAGGAAATCAAAATTAAATCCCTAGTCTGGGGAGTAAGAAATTGAAGGTGCATTCTTATATGTTCTTTTCTCTCTATTGATATGAATACTCTTTGTTACCTTTAACAGATGCCTGAATTACATACAAAAAATGTATTAAGCAAAGCATCTATATTATCTAGAGATTGAGAAGCTAATTGTGCTCTTCAACAGAACAAAAAATGAAATGGCTCTTACAGTTGCCTGTTTTTTAGAAGATTTTAGAAGACTTTAGAAGATTGGTAAAAATAGTACTCTGTGCCTAACCTGAGCAGATAGAGCATTCAGACAGGAGACTACAAAGGATTAGGAAAAAAATGATTTGCTGTATTCTCCCTCATGCCTATCAGGTAAGCACAGCTGCACTAAGGCAAATAACTATCTAAAGTAAATGAGACATAAGTATAGATTTCATAAAGAAATTCTAATAGTACTCAGTATACCAAGGAGAAGTTTTCCAAATCACTTTAAATAAATCACAGCTGTGCCTTTTTACTTAACTTTTTGTCATTTGAAATCTTGTAGTTGGTGTTTCAGATTACATCTTGTCTGTTCAAATGAAATTTTTTCCCCATTAAAAATTACACAAATCAATTACATGGCTTATCATTTATAGTAAAGCCAAAACACAGGTTTGAGTTCAAATGGTTGGGTTTGTATGTGAGCTGCTAGCAAATTAAGACTTAATTTAAAACAATTAAATTTTGCAGAAAGCTAGTCTCACAGGTTAGAGTAGGTCCTTATATGGCCTTTATCACCATATTGTCTGAGCACCTCACAATTGTTAATGGATTTTACTTTCACAACATCCCTGCAAGATAGGACAGTATTACCCCCATTTTACAGGTGGAGAACTGAGAGACAGGGTAGATTAAAGATTTGCTCAAGATGACGACATAGCAAGCATATGGCTGCGCCCAGCAATTGTGTCCCAGTCCAGGGCCCTGTCCACTTGACCACCCTTCTCAGTCATTTCAATACATTTTATCTAAAACCATTTGAAAGATTAGTTACATAGCATGCAAAGAACAACTCTTGTTCTATAGTGTCCAGTGTGATTTGTATAAAATGCAAGGGAAAGTATATGAAACAAAACTTAATTCTTGTAAATAACATGGGGCTGAATCCTGACATGCAAGTTTCCTTCCCTGATAGAATTTTCTTTTTAACCAATAGAAGTTTTAATCTACTCAGTCTACACTGAGTATTCGGAGATACAGTTAAATGTGACTATAAATTGGAGTTAGTCCTTATAGCAGGCCAAGTCCTTTTTCACGTTCTTTGAAAAATATCTTCAGATAACACTAGCAGGTGCATTGTTCTTATTACACACCATGTTTCTGTATAATACTATGGTATGTGACATGTTCTTTACATTTAAAAAATCCCACTAAAAATAAATTATTGGAACTACTCAGAGTAGGAAGCACTACCACGTGGTAGATGTTTGTAGGATGGAGGCTGCACTTAGCAAAATCAAATTAATTTGTTATACTTCACAGCAAATTTATACATGTGTGTCCAGCTAATAAATATACTACTCAGCAAGCCTGGGCTCCATATCTACAGATCCAGTGTCTTCCCTAGGGATACATTCCTTCTTTAGGGGTCACCTTCCCATAGCAATGTGGGGTGCTGAGCCCTTCTGTCATAGGCTCTCTCCCCTGCCATTTCCCCTACAATTGTTCCCCAACCTGTGGGAGGGAACAATTGAGCCCTCCTCTAAAAGAGAAAGGAAGTATTAACTGGAGGCCAACACTGCTTAAAGAGTGGCTTTTCCTAACCCACAGAGCTTCCCGAACCTAGGTATGCCTGTTGGGGGGCCTTTAGTAATTCTCAGAAAGGAAGGCAGAATGCAGTAAAACCTGCTTCCACAGTACCCTTTGTGCTCCCTGCCCAGTGATGTTCACTTTACCTACCTTTATTAATGAAACCGGAGTTGAAGACTGGGCTTCAAATCAGTGCATTTTTGTGTAGAATCAGAATCCAGCTGTATTATAATATACTGTGCTGCATATTCTTGAGATAAGGATATTATTCTGTTTATCTAATTTAGTCATCTATATGGTGCCCATCAGCACAGGTTTTTGGTTTTAGCCAGATACAATAGCATTTCAGAGTATAGGTTCAACAAGAAGGAAAGTGAGCATTCTAAGCAAAATCAAAAAGAAAGTAAGGCTGAATCTGCCTGTTGGTGCATTTCAGTGTGGTGAAAGATGCCTGAAACTCATAGTCGATTATCAAAACTATATGGCTCTTTCAACTACCTGGAAATGTAACTTCACTGTAAAATGCTAGGATCCTATTTGAAAATCTATATTTTTCAGATTTACTTTTCTTTTGCTGACCTAGTTTACACAAGCAACAATCCCACCATTTGTGTTAAGTGACAGTAACATGACATCTCTCTGGAATTTACCCCAAAATGTTCTTGCTCCCTCAAAGCTAGAGCAATTGTTTGACATTTTAGGAGTAGTGCGTTAAATTACTTTATGTAAATAAACTTGAATTGTAATTTACGTCGTTAGGGTGGGGTTTTTGTTTGTTTTGTTTTTTGGAAGGTCAGTAACTTTAGCTCTTTATTTTATTGCAAAAGAATAAAATTTCTATACTCTGTCAGAAGAATAGACCCAGGGAATTAGACAACATTTAGCTTGTTCATAATATAATATTTTAACCGTATTAATAAAGATGTGAATATCTAGGAGGGAACATATGATTGAGGCATGAGGGATTTCCTTTGCCCAATTATATCCCTCAAAATCAATGGAAGAATAGACTGCAAAGTGCATCTGTAGCAGCATAATTTCATATTTGAGGATAAATCTTGGTCTTAGTGGCTGCAAACTTGTACAGCAGGAGTAATGGTGCATTGTTGACTATACAGTACAGGCATTTCAGGGCAGAATCATTCATGTTTGGCTGATCCCATCCTGCAGGGACTTTCTGCGGCTTGTTTCAGTAGGAGTTGCATGCTCACTGTAACTGCTGCCAGCTAGCACTTGATTCTGGCAGTTTGCATGTTCGCTAGTTTTGTGGGCGAGCCATACATGTTTTCCAGCTTGCCTGTCACCCTCCAGGCACTGGCAGTGTTTTAAGCAGGGCTTTACTTACTGCCTTTGCAGATGTGGCAATAAATTTAATAAACTTTTAAAAACTAAGTTAAATTGGCACCTACGTGGTTGAAGTGTTGCTGGAGGCCATTGTTGTTTCCAAACTGCATTTTGGGTATTTTTCTCTTGCCATGTTACAGAAGAAAGATGCAGCATTTAATTGTTTGTACCTGAAATGTCAGATTTTAGAATGGTGGTTCGTTTTTTTTTTAATTGGACAATTAGAACTGTATTTTCAAAAACAGCCATTGAATTTGCACCCACAATTATTTGCATATCTAGAGTGAATAGCTGGATTTTTTTTTCCCCTGACATGGATCCTTTAATATGAGTATAATCTTATTTGGTCCCAACTATACAAGCAAAACCCAAACTCTTGTAACCAAGTGCCCTGGCATAGATGTAATAGCTGTGGGGTGGGGATTTAATGTAGCTCATGTGAATGCCTTTGTATCTTTTCCTCCTTTTCAGTGAAAATAGAGATTTAAGAAATTTTATGGAAGATTTTAAGTTTCTTTCCCCCCACCCCTACAATATCTCAGGTCATCCAGTGTGACCGTCTATATTATGTATATTGTTTAGATATATAGATCCAACTTTTAAAAAGTACTGCCCAATTTAGATCTGAAGACTTCTTACCGTTGGTTACTATGAATAATGGCCCTTTTAAGCATGACCTTTATGTTGGTATGTGTTTTGGGAACACAAGAAGAATTTTACAATGAACAGCTATTTTATCATAATGATTCATTATTTAAAAAACATACAACAAATATCTTAAGAAAATGTCCTAACACATACTCGGTGGTCAGCATTATTTTGGGTGGGATTCTTATTTAACTAAGTTGCATTCCACACTATAGTTCGGGTGTCCATTACAAAGAAGGCAATTGTTTCAGAATTGTTCTCAGTGGCATTCTTCATTGGGTTTTCTGCCAGTCAGGCAAGTTCTCCCACATTACTGGAGAGATGTGAAATGGCTAAGTTTAAAATAAGTCTACTTAACTTAGCAGAAATAAGCAAAAGAAATACAATTATGGGGAGGAATATAAACTTTGTTTTGTAAAGATGTGTAGATATACATTGAGTTAGACTTACTTTGGGGAAAAATGAAATACAGGTTATCTGTATGTTTATATCTCATACCCATCTGTCTGTTAGTGACTAAAGAAACTTGTTCAACTGCATCAGCTGGATACTGTTAATATACCCTGCATAACAATACCATAGTCATTAAAAG